CACCTTTCGAACCAATCCTACATTCCAGTACCTTCGTTCCACTCAAACCACATTTGTCACACGGCCACACCTACACACTGCCAAACACGCACACCTCACACACATTTCACAATTTCACATTCTCGTCACACGAACACGCCACCCAATCACACATTCTTGGCACGCGAATACAATACGCGAATGCACTATCACACCACCACATCTCACGGCCAAGTACACACTGCATATCACCAATCCACATTCAGCCCAAGCATAATCCAAATCAGCCCACGATCACAAATCACACAACCACGTACACAATTCAATTCATAGCATAATTCCCACTGATCGATTGCACAATTCAACCCCAATCCAGTCACAACATCACGGTCCTACCCAAGCTTTCATACCTCAAATTTTCGTCGCCAAATCAGTCCACAACCACCAAATAACCAGTCTCTCAATTCAGCCCCAAACAGCCCCTAAAACAGTCACAATATCCCCTAAACCGAACCCTAAACAGTGACCGGAATCCCATCAAAATAAATAGTAAAAGAACTCCAAAAATTCTAAATTTTGGACACGTCGCAAAACACATCCCGATAAACATTTCTTATGAAGAACACGAAATCCGGTTCAATCTACAACCATGCCTTTTTGTCCCTCAAAATCAGACCAAAATCAGTTCGCTCTAACAGACTATTTTGTCCTCAAAATACATTTATTTCAACACCCAAATCACCTTGAAAAGATTTGAAATTTTTATATGTTATAGCCACAAATGTCCCCAACAGGTTTTGTGAAGGAAGTGTTTCGAGAATAGGCCTGGAAAAATTTATAAAAATTCGAACAGACCCAAAGGTCGGGTGAACAGTAAATCGGGCAGTTTTATTTCGGTCCAAAGATGGACTTCCGAATGGCATCAAATGATTTCCAAAAATTCCCAAATTAATATATGTCATACTTCAAGATGTTGGGAGCAACTTTCATGAATAAAATTTTCTCAAATTCGGCCCCCAAAATTCTCTACAAAAATAGCAAACCGGGCAGGTACAGTAACCGCGAATCCGCGATTCACCCCGAACCTCACGGATTCAAACCCGAACCGATTCCTACCGAATTCCAACCGCCTAAACTCATTTCCCGACGTCTAATCCAACCCGCAACACCCGCTAACAGTCACGGTCAGCCATCAACAACCACGATCAGCCACCAAAAACCATTATCGACACCTTAATCACCCTCTAAATCCTCTAAACCATACCCGAACGAGTCCGAAAATACCCGACGTCCTAAATAGGGATTAGATCGCGACTTACCGGACTCTAGACTAACTCGGCTAGAGCGGGAAGGTGGAACGGCTGGCCGGCGTGGCTCCGGCGAAACTCCGGCGAGAGAGAAAATGAAGGAAAATGGAGAGAAAGTGGAGAGAAAAGGTGGGAAAATGGGGAGAAAATTTCTGAAGAGGGCTGGTCTGCACGTGAGAGTGAGTGAGGAGAGAGAGAGATCAGCCAACTTGGTCAAATAATTTAATTAGGGGTGCCATGTGTCAAGCTTAGGTAAAAAGGACTAAAATGCCCCTAATTAAATGGTTCCTATTCATTCTTATCTAAAAAGAGAGGGGCAAAAGGGTCAATGGTCCCCAAGGATGCAGCTGATATTTATCCATAATTATCCCAATTTATCCAAAAAAAATTCGGACCCAAAAATTAGCCCAGGGGGCAAAATGGTAATTTTCCGGTCCCGGGGCGAAATTCCAATTTTCGCACATACGCGTTCCATATGTGCGTGGCCAACATAATGTGGTGTCGGAATCGCGAAATTCACTTTCTAAGCCCTCGAAAATCAACTGCGAAGTTCCGAGAATAAAATAATATTATTTTTTCAATTTTTGTCGAAATTCCAATTTTTGTCCAGAACTGTTCCAAATGCACGTGGCCACCCCAAAATGACGCTAGCCTCGAAAAATAACCACAAACGACTTCAAAATCCAACATTGGTGTCCACATGGGCAAAACCGTAATTTTTCCGGCCCCGGATCGAAATCTATTTTTTTTTTGCAGAAATGGGTGGCCCCAAGGTTGGCCAAGCCAAAAACGTCATCGGCCGCTCAAAATTATCACTTTTCAAAATTCTCGATTCCCGGGCCCGAATTCTAAGAAATGACTAAAATTGACTAATCGCGACTTTAGCTTATCTCTTGCTAACGGGTGGCTCATTAGGATTACGCGCTCTCAACCCGTGACCGACACCGAGTCAAATCACGTTTAAGTTTACTCTACCTGGAACGACCTCGGTTGTCATATAATTGCGAGGGTGCGTCACTAGTGCCCTTCGGACACGATCAATCAAATAGGCTGGTCTCGGTTGGCTCAAAACATTCCCTCGTCAATCCATATGGTCGAAGATCGAACCCAGGTCGAGTTCTTTGGTCGTGCGAACTCAATCCCGTAATAGCCTTACCCCTAAGGTTAGCATCCCGAGAATGCGCGAGTCCCGGGTAAGATCTCACTATAGTGCATTGGTCAAATTCATTTCTTAAATCCCGGGAAAATGATTGAAAATTCAGACTGTTACATTTCTGCTACTCCATTTTGCTCCGGAACGTAGCCAACAGTTAGTTGATGATGGACTCCTTCGTCTTCACAGAATTTATTGAACTCCCTTGAGTTGTATTCCGTGCCTCTGTCGCTCCTTAGGACTTTGATTCTATGGCCACTTTGATTTTTGACGTGGTTCTTGAATATTCTGAAAATAGAGAAGACCTCTGATCTTTCTCGAAGTAAGTAGACCCACGTCATTCTTGTGTAGTCATCGATGAATAGGATGAAATATTTATTCTGACTGAGTGTGAGGGTCCTCATTGGACCACACACATCCATATGCACTAGCTCCGATGGCTTCTTCGCTCTCCATCCACCTCCAGATGGGAAGGACTGTCTTTGTTGTTTTCCAAGCAGACAGCCTTCACAAGCATATGAAATTTCTGAAATAGCTAGAAAATCTCTCATTATATTTTTTTGATGGAGAACTTTTAAACCAACGAAGTTGAAGTGGCCAAATCTTCGATGCCAAAGCCATGAATCATCAAGTTGAGCTTTCATGGCTATATCTCTGATATATTTCCATTGAATAGGAAAATTCATATTCTCCATTTTAACAGAGGCAATGATATTTTTATATTTATCATAGATAATGCAGGTATTTTCTCTAAAGTATAGAGAATAACCACTTTGTATCATTTGGCCCACGCTCAATAGATTTTGACCAAGACTGGGGACAAGATATACATTATGATGGGCCTTTATTTATTTCAACAACGATAGTGCCTTTTCCTTTCACTTCGACCAATGTGCCGTTGCCCAATTTCACTTGGGATTTCACCAATGTATCAATATCGGTGAATATAGATTCGTCCCCCGTCATATGATTGCTACACCCACTATCAATGTAGCATGTATCATCATTTTTTTTTTATTATTTGCTACTTGGCCTGCGTAGAATGTGTTGTCTTCACTTTCTTTTACTTCAACATAGTTGGCTCGATTATTTATTTTAGAGTGACAATATTTTTCTATGTGGCCATATCCTTTACAAAAGCGGCATTGTGGTTTATTTCTAAACCAGCAATCTTTCTCCATATGATTAGTATTCTTGCAAATACCACAAGGTGGGTATTTTTCCTTTTGAATAGTTTTTCCTCCTCTTTTACTTTTCCATGAGCTCCTTCCACCAATTTTAGATTGATGAGACCATATATTCATTTTAGACTGAAAGGCACTTTCAACTGAATCTTCATCTTGTGCCTTTAGTCTTTTCTCATGTGCTTCTAGAGAGCCAATTAATTCACTTATTGACAAGGTCGTTAAATCTTTAGTTGCTTCTATAGTTGTCACAATAGGATTGTACTTTCTAGTAAGTGACACTAGTATGTTTTCTACGACCCCTTTGATCAGCGATTTCATCTCCATAGGCTCTCATTTGGTTAACTAGTTCTTTTAATTTTCCACAGTATTCTTGAACGGTCTCATTTACTTTCATTTTAGAATTCTCAAATTCTCTTCTCAGAGTTTGAAGCCGAATAGTGCATACCTTTTCTGATCCTTGGAATTCTTCTCGTAGTGTTTCCCATGCCTTCTTTGCCGTCTTCGCTCCAATTATCCTCGGAAATACTATTTCCGAGAGTGCTTGCTGAATAACACATAGTGCCCTTGCATCCTTTTGTAGTTGATCTTTTGGAACGCTTGCACCTTCTTGTAGAGCCTCATGACCCTTTTCTACGATGTCCCATAAATCCTGGGCCATCAAGAAAGTTGTCATTTTAATGCTCCAATAGTCGTAGTTATTCCCATCGAAAATAGGAATGGGAAATGAGGATGATGTAGAGTTGGCCATAGTTTAGTTGTTGGATAGTTGAATGGGTAGTTTTAGGAACGGGTGGTTCAGACAAACGCCCAATACCAACAAAAATCGTGGGTCTGATACCACTGTTAGTGTTTGCGGAAGCATGATTTGTTTTGTAAGTGAGTGAGTGATTAGTGAGTGCAAGTGTTGGTACGTGGACTTGGAGCAACAATAGAACAGAACTTTTGATAGTGGAAGACAAGTAGGGAGCAAAGAAGACAAAAGGAGTATTGTATTATGAAGGCTTGTACAAGGGACTTAATTTTTTATTGTGATGGGCGTATCCTTCAAGTGGAGAGGAGTTGGCTATTTATAGCCCTCTTCCACCGCCATTAAGGAAAAATCTAGAGCATGTTACAAAGATATTTTTCTAGAGTTTTCTACGCATATTACATTAGTCTTCTAGAAATATTATAGATATTTTCTGGAAACTCTTCTAGAAATATCTAGACTATTCATCTAAATATCTATTCTCCAAAGATCTTGAGCATGCTAGAAACTTCTAGAAATTGGATCACTATTTGAACAGTCTTATCTGTGCCGGGCTGGATAAGTACTTTGTTAAACTTACCGGGACACCTCATGGCTGGGAAATCATGTTCGAAGTCACTCGAGTCATGTCATCACTTATCATCATAGCATTGATCATAATTGGATTCTCGTTCTTCAAGCCATTCTTGCAAAAGAAGGAGGCCAAGGTAATCATTGTTGCCATCGCCCTTCAGGTTCTCCCCAGCGTGGCTCTCCCTTTTGCAATGACCATGGGAGACACTTGGCCCGACGTAGTGTTGTTACTGAGTTGGTTGCACCTGATCTGCGTGTGCACCATCCTCCTTATGACAGGGAGATCTCATTGGTCGCTGCGCAAGGCTGCGAAGATCGACAAGAAGGCAGCAACGTCATCGACTAAAATTAACAAATTTTACTGGTTGTACATCTTGGCAATGGCTTATTTGTATGAAATACCAGTGTTAGCAGACTCTTTGAGGGTCGTCATGGCATATGAGAACAGCTGGGTGAGCAATGTCGTGGAGGAGGGTGCGAATCTAACGATTTTTGTGGTGTCGCTTTGTATGTTTAGGCCTGTCAATGAGTACACTATTATTGACGCACAGGATGAGAAGGAAGAAACTATGGCTGCAGCAAATGAAGAGTCCGGGGTTTGAAGGAGAGACGGCAATTATAGTTGAAACCGGGACCCAAGGGCTTATTTCTCAGTAAGAATCCATATTTTCTCTACGGAGATAAAACTGGCTGTGGTGAATCTTTTCTGTGTAGAGATGTTGTTTAGGATAATTTGGAGAATTTGTAGAGAAATGCTGCGAGGGGAAAGAATTGTGCCTTTTGACATCTGTGTAATAATGCAGTTTCATGTATGAAATACGTTGGTCTTGGCTTAATGAGATTATAACACGTTTTATTAGACAGTGGACCAGAGAAGTCATTAGATAGATTTAAACTATGAAAATCAACACCATCATAGCCATGACATATTCAATGAGTATGACGATGTTAGTTTACATAAACTGAGTCTATTTAATTATATTCCGGTAAAACCAATACGATTTGTAAGTCTGTGATAACTTTTTTGATTGAAAAATAAGGAGAGCAAATGACCGTTCATATTTTTCTCTATTTGGAGAAGTTTCTCTACTTGGATTGAAGTCGGAATATGAGCACCCCCAATCAGAGGTATGGTTGAAGAGACTTTCTCCAATGGTCGGAGAAAAATATTCATCCTCTATAAAATGAGTGTTGTCTGTGTAGTTGCATCAATTAATGTTCCAGCGAGTGCATGGTTGTAGGAGAACATGAGAGGGAGAGAAGAAAGGGACATCTTTTGTCACTCGAAAGCATCTGACAGCCCGTAAAAAGGCAATACTAACAGGTTGCTGCTGCTTCACGCTTTTCCTTTTTCTTGTTCTTCTTCTTCTTGTTTCGTTTCCTTCTTCTCGGCGGAGTCCTAAGAATAGAGCATGGCTGCGTAACATCATTGTGAAGACCACATCAGTCATCTGAGTCTAGGTTGCATGAAAATAAAAAGTAAATCATACAAGCTAGCTGGGAATATGGGTAGTCGATCCAATGTACACAAGGGCACATAAACTGTGAGTGCTAATGCACCGCCAGAGGCATCAAACATGTTAGTAGACTCGACGGAAACATGCAGATCTATCTTGTCAATGCAAATTTTCGCGCAACAAATACAATGTCCATGTTCCCTGATGAAAAGGAGCTGGGAGCATCCCCACCCTGCTCAAAGGAACTAAATAAGTAGGGAGAAACAGTAGCGACAGTTAAAGTTAGAATCAATAGTGTAGAGGCCCTCCAAGCCCCAGACAGAATGCATCGACGACATGTCTGCATATAAAGGTTGTGGTGCCATGGGGTGCGTGGAGGAAGAAGAGGGTGTGAGCCTGTTTAGGAGAACAATCACCTAATCGGTCGTGTTAGTCATCCAACTTCTGGCATTCGATATCAGAGAAAGGAAGGGTCCGAGAGCCTGCTAATACAGGTGCATGATGATCTTAGGACCCTCTGGGAAAGGAAAGGGAAGCAAGTGTAAGAGTCAAGGACAAAACGTCTTTGGGGTACTGGAGGGACGACCACTCCCCTGAGTGTATTTCGTACACCTCAGCCCAGATCGAACTGGTGACGTCAAATCCAGGTAAACGGTAGGGTTCTGCAAGTCCCCCCGACACATAGATACAATCATTGATGGCGACCGCCGCCGGGACTCCACGACAAGTGACCGTACTAGGACCAATCCTCCAGTCCATCTTATAATCACCAGAGTAAGAAGAGGCGTCTAGGTCTATGTAGATCATATAGGGAGAGGGATCCAACCTCCCACTACATGCCACCAGTGTTAAAGATGGTGGATCTTACTGCGGCATAAGCGAAAAGAGGTTGATATACACAGTACATCCTGGGTTTCAGCATATAGGAGGCGAGGCTCCTTCTGCAGGCGGTCTTCGAAATCAATTGCAACTACGGAAGCTAGTGTAAACTTCATCGGTGAAGAGCAGACCGACGTCAAACAACTTCCCCCTGTTCCTCCGTCCTATCTTGAGGATCACTAATGGAACAGCAGCTGCAAGATCTCAAATTGGTTTTTACTGCTTCTTCTCCGCCTAAGAACAGCAAAACACTAGTAGAGAAGACTATATCATACGACTTTTTAGCGGGTGGATAAGGTTACTTTGTCTTTAGCAAGAGAATAATTTCCCCGGTCCAGGAGATTACTTAAGTGAAATCCAGGAACGAATATATTTTACATCATGTTGCTCTATGGTGCGATAATGAGGTGGCAAGTTATATGGTCGAAAGGAAATGAATTTCGAGTTTATTGAATTGATATCAAATAATTCTCTTACAAAGAGATGAACTTGTTGAAAGTGACTGTAGTCATGGAGGAGATAGGATTGTCATTGTTTAAATAAAGATGTTCGAATTGTAATCTACTCTATCACTTGTAACACAACTTGTTAGAGTTCAAAAGAAAATTAATCAATTTGAGATCGAATAAAATGGTAATGCCGAGATTATATTTTCAAACATCACTACTGGTGGACTGATTTAGTTTCGACAATGCTAAGGTCGAACCGAATAATTTTATCGAACCGATAAAATAACTGGAGGGAAAATTTGTTTGCGATCGCTCATGATGGGATTTGCCTTTTGGAGTGTGGAAGTCGTGATCACTTCGCATGAGTATTGATAAAACGCTGAAGTGTTTTCTAAGCCGAGATATGTGCATAACCTGTTAACACACTGCCTTAAAAGAGCTAGTGATGTTTCGTACCGTTTGTATGATTTATATAGTGTCCTAACATCAAAATTTTATCTTATTAGGTTCCGTTTGTTTGACAGAAAACGTGACATTTTTGGAAAATATTTTCCAGAAAGTTATTTTCCAAGTTAATAATAATATTTTGGTGTTTGGCTGAAACCTGAAAATGAATTGAAAATTCTTTTTATAGTTTGGTTTAGAAAATCCGATTTGATTTTCCTAAATAGACATACATTATTAGGCGGTAGTAACTTGTGCATAGACAATTGGGAAACCTGGCATAGGCACTAGAGTCTCGAGTCCGGGTTTGATGGACCTCAGGGGTCGGGGAAGAAGCACTTGGGTCTCGATGGACCCGGGCATTGCCTTTGTGGACCCCACCATGTTTTGGATTGCATTCATTAGAAAAATCAAGGTCTTTTAAGACAATACCAAAACCACCCCTTACCCCCAATTTCTTTCTACACATTTTTTACTTTTTCCGTCGATTCTCTTCCAAAAATGACAATGTAGACAAACAATCGATTTTCCCGAAACCCTTCTTCCTAATAAAAATTCTATATCATCGAACGCAAGTACCCTCTGGCAGGCTGGAACGACGTCACCTTATGAGTATTTGTATTCTCGTTTGCTGTGATTTTCAAATTGCATTGAAAAGAACGAACAAATCAAATTCAGCCTCCGGAGGCGAATCGTCACGGCGAACCTCGCACCATCAACGAATATGTCCGCAAACCGGCACAAACCACTTCCTCCGACATGGGATTGCTTCACGACCGGCTATATTCCGCACGTCGTCGCGTAATCTCTCTTCTGTCTCCTGTCAAGTTCACTCGTGCACATAGCTTCTGGACACAAGCTGAGCATAGAGAAGCTCGTTCCAGGTGTCCGGCACGCCCGGCAGGCACCAGTGGCTGCAGTCCTGGGGAGCAGTGGGTGGAGTGCCGGGCTCCCGGTGGCTCGACGGGTGGCCATCGTTCCGGAACTCGGTCATGTGCGTAATGTTCAGGAAGTGGACCTTGCTGTCGTTTCCCTCCCCCATTTCTCTGATCGCCTCGTAGATGAGCGGGTTGTACAAGGGCACCGAACGCGGCCCTGTGGAGTCGAATTGCGGGTCTTTGCTGATGTTACATTGCCCTCCTTTATCCCACGAGCCACGACTGCAATTCAACACAAGTCCTGAAAGGTCAGATGATCATCTAACGCAGAGATCTTGAGATGTATTCTTTCAAATTCTCACAAGATAAAGACCAAAAAGATGGGCAAATAATTCTTGTCAAATTAAGAATATTTGTATGTATGTATGTGTGTGTGTGTGTGTGTGTGTGTGTGTCTATATATGACAGACAATCCATTTATGTTAATTAGATAAAGAAAATTTAACTATTCTAGTTAAATCTATTATTAATGTTCGCAAGATAAAATATCACCATCAATTTGTATTGCTCGTTATGGTGGACTCCATTTGATCCAACAATTAAGAATTTCATATGAATTTCTTTTCTTTATAGGATTGATATATAACGCTTCTAATTACTAGTAAAGAATTAAAAAATTTGTGTAGGGTCATAGGGCTACTTTTTTTTTTCCTTCGAATCTTCAATTTATCTATAAAGCTATTGATGCACGAACATGATCCCGTGGAACTAGGTTACCGAAAATTGATACGTTATATCATTCTTCTTTAGCCAAGTACTAAATTTAAGAAAGCTAGTAGTTAAAAAACTTTGATTAAGTTCTAGTATTTATTTTTTTGGAAATTCAATGTGGCAAAATAATTCTATTTAGTGTTTATGTTTTTAAAAATCTAGTCCCTACCAATACAATTATCACTACCACTATTTTACTCATCGATTTACACAAAATCCCCTTATAAAATACGATTACATCGAAACAAACGAAACACCATATTAATAGCTAACAACTACCTCCACGAATAAAGAAAATAAATCAAAATAATTCTGAATTACTATATTTTATTTTTATTGGTTATAAGTAAGTTGTAACAATCTCAAAATGAACAAGGGCAGCTTACAATGAGTCACTTAGCAATGTAATGATCAGTACTACTACGTATGTGTACTGTTCGGTTGATAAATACGTGCCATTTGTGTAATATAAAACATGTAACTTTTATAGATTACATATTGTTATATGACCATATCATCAAAATAAAAAATATTTAGTAAGTCAATTTTCAAATTCTTCTATCAACTCGTATAAGCGTTCTCTTCATGCTTCTCCAGATTACTAACCTGTAATGCACTGGGGAGTAGCTTCGGAAGAACACATGACTTGTCTGAAGGTCCAAATCCCGCTCTGCCCAGAGCTTCCATGTCTGAAGAGACCTCCTGAATGCTGTAGTCGAATCCATAGTCGTATTGACCGCTCCCTTTTCCTCGAAGTAGAATCCCCTGAAGAAGAAGAAGAAGACACCAAGACATCATTCGATGAATCAAATCGTAGGACCGAACTGTAATTCACTACAGAGAATGAGAAATTCGATCCATCTACGGTTCATGTTCATACATCTTTGACGTTTTCTCTTGGTTCCACCAATGCCCGGCATTGAACATGATCACATTCGCGCCGACCCACATCCTCGAGAACCAGTGCAACTCGTCAACCCGGATGGTGCCCCGGACTCGGGCCGGGGAGTTCGGGGGGACTCTGGCCGTCGTGACCAGGAACGGCACCCGGTAATACTCGATGGTGAGGTTGTACTCGTGGAATAGGATTGAGAGGTAGCCCTTGTGTTTTCTTATGGGGTTCCCGTTGGCTTCGTATACGGCGGATCGGTTGGAGACTGCTTGCCAAAGCATGCACACCAAGGACTCCCATTGATTTCTTCCCAAGGAGTCGCCGGCAAACACTATTCTTCTGTTTCGGCTACTTTCTAAGAGCTTGCTTGCATTAAATCTACGACATTAGAAGAGTGGAAGAAAAAAAAAACAAACTTGAATGAGATCGGACTCAAGAGTGTTTGAATGCCGCAAAATTAAAGGAGGCTTTTCATCTTAGACAAATTAATGGACATAGGACAGGCTGTGCTACTTGATGAACGACTAATAACTCCAACTCAAATTACTACTTTGTGCTAGCCTCATACCCATGCTCGCTCTTTTTCCTCCGCGCACACTTCCGATCTAACCTTATCCAATCTCTTTCAAAGGAACCACCGAGTGCGGTAAACAGGTTCACACGTCTTTCACGAGATCAAAAGTTTGAATAATCGAATCTTTAGATGCCCTGGGCTTATGTTACATTCCATACGGAGATTCCTACTTTTTGGCAAACAAGTGAATGAAGTTGCAGTAACAGATCATGTCTATTGTATCTCTCAACGCCTTCGTAGCGATTATGAAATTGATAGCTGTCCAAAGCTGCGCTTCCTAATCTCTTCATTAGCGAGATCATTCTCGCCAAAGTCGCTTCCATCGGTCTTTATCTTCCAAAGATCAACAAGTTGTGATGCCAATTAGCTCAGAAATTTAAATTAGAGAACTCTCAAAGTTTTGATTAACTCCAAGAGGCTAAACATGTTTGCAAGACACTTAAATAACCTTATTCAACGCCTAGCACCGAAGTCTTGTATGTTCAAACTAGGAAACAATAAAATAGAGATTAACTAGGATACTCGAGATAGGCTATATGTTAAGCTAATCAGATACCAAATTAAGTACGTAATATCACTAAAAATCCCAGAGCATTATCCGTCGTTCAATAAAGATAGAGCAAGTAAACTAAGAAAAAAGACAATACTCAGATTTCTTGACTTATTATCCATAATGTTTCTGTATTGGTGATTGAACTTGAACATATAATGAAGGGGTAACAATACATGCAATGCAGTATGCTCTCATCGACAATTAAATTTTACCAAAAAGAGTCCTCGCTAAGATCAAGCTGCGTACCTGGGAAGATCGCAGCGATAAGGTTGCCAGCGCCACTTGAGATAATCATCATCTTCCCGCCCGTTCTTGTGGCACCGGAACCCTGGGTCGAGGAACGGGCAACTCTCGTCATAGTGCCTGAAGGCGTTGCCCTCGTCCCTGATCCACCTCCCTCTCCAGTAATCGCACTCTCCTCCGGCCGTGACCCGCTCGGCGTCGCCCGGGGGGACGAGGCTGCGATGAAGAAGTGACGACGGGTACAGCTCGAAGGGGCTCGGGCAGTTGAGCACGACGTAGGAAGAGAGCAGGAGGAGGAGGAAGAGGAGGAACGGCAGCGCGCATTTGAACTCTCGCAGCACCTTGTTGGGGAAGGACAGAAGGTGAAGATCCATAAAAGGGATGATCCCCACAGAACGAAAAACTATGAACAACGCCTCGGATCTATCCCCCTCCACTAGAGAGAGATAGAGAGAGTTAACTTATGTGGTTCGGCTTGCCGGCGAAGCAATGATTTCAGGGTTTTATGATAGATTAACATGGTCGTCGTGGAGGTCTAGTTTATTATATGAGGAGGTGGAGATGGAGATGGAGATGGAGATGGACTCCGTCATACACGTCTCGACGACATGACGGCCTGTCATTGCCGGTTTCGTACTCTCCCTGATAGATTCCGCCGGTTTGGTGCCAAAAACGGGGGGGAATAAGGAGAAAAAATTTTGTTGCATACTCCACCCGTTTGATAACCATGGAAGATTTGGTGGGATCGGCTTTAATTAAATGAAGGCTTAGCTGGATATTTGGATATTCTGACATTTCATCGAGTGTGGTTATTATGATATAGTATGTTATTTGGTAAGGTGGGTATATCTTTTATTACCGTATAGGGAAAATTGTGGGTATATCTTTTATCACCGTATAGGGAAAATTGTCCAAAAAGTCATAAATTTATTGTATTTTTGCCAATTCGATCCTAAACCTTTCAATTTTGCTAATTGATTCATAACATTTTCACGTTTTTCCGATTGAGTCCATCTGGTTAATTTTGGACAGATATCGCTGACGTACGCCGGCCTTCTTACGTGGCACGGCCGACGCTGACGTGGATAATTTTTAATAATGTTTTTCTAATTTTTGTATTCTTTCTTTTCTTTTTTCATTTCTTTATTTTTTTTATAAACCTTTGGGCAGCAAGGCGGTTGGGCGAGGGCGTTACTGCCCTCGACAGCCACAAGCAAGGCCCTTCGCATCCTTGCCAACCATAGGCAAGGGTCGACACCCAAGCCTGTTGGTCGGCAAGGGCCGCGATGCCCTTGCCTAGATCTTGGCGAGAGCCCTTGCCTGTAGCCGGCGATGGTCGCCCAACAAGGTCACTGACCAAAGGTTTAAAAAAAAAAAGAAAAGGAAAGGAAAGTTTAGGAAAAGAAAATTAATAAAAATATTCGAAAAATATTAAAATATTATTAAAATTTATCTACGTCAGCGCCAACTGTGTCACGTAAGACGCCTAACGTCTACGTTAGCGATTTCTGGCCAAAATTGACTTGATGGTCTCAATTAGTAAAAGGTGAAAAAGGTTTATGATTCAATTAGCAAAACGAAAGGTTTGTGACTGAAATGACAAAAATGTAATAGGTTGTAGATTTTTAAACAATTTTTTTTCCCATTTAGGCCCTGTCTAGTCATAGTGGTTAAGGAATGGATGCTTGTGCAGATGAGATGCATAGAATAGGTTCGATTCTTCATATCGCCGCACGGAAATAATCCCACCCTGGATTTGGCTCGTGTTTGACCATGTCCATGAGGTTTGTACCTTATTATAAAAAAAACATAGTGTGAATATGTTGATCTATTAACACGAGTTCTAACAATAATGACCAGCAACGCTAGGTTCCCTCATGCTAAAAGTACCCAAAATTAAGTGTACTTGATTTAGAATACTAGATAGTATGGTTCACTGTAAATTGGTATTTAAAAGGAATTGAAACACGAGATGGTGAATTTATGTATTGATTGTTGGCTAAACGAACTCATACATTTGTATATTTGACACCATTACTTAATCTCCTTTGGTATTTCAATGTTAATATACTTTCTTAAAACATTTATAGCGTTGCTCAGTAATGATGGGTAAACAGAAACAAAATTACCAAAGAAACCTATATGTCTGTGTACGTAGATATGTAGATAACAATGACTAAATGACCAAGTGGTAAGCATATTCATCCTCCTCACTCAAAGTCCCGGTTCAAATTACCACGCTTGCCCGTTCTCTTTGGGCCGCTCCCAAAAGCACAAACACGTGTCTCTAGAACTTATCCGGTGTGGGTGGGACGGGAAGACTGTCACACCTGATAGAGATCAGTCATGTGCTTAAAGAGCTCCAGACACTCAATTGATTGATATGAAAAAATAAACATTCACTAGCAAGAGAACATAAGGAAACTCCACCAGGATTGATGCCCCCTTCCACTCTCTTTTGGCTCCAAGGATAATTTTTTTTTTTTTGTCAACATAACATTTCATTCACTTTCTCAGATATACAAGAGAGAAACAACGTAGTTCAACTCTAAATTAAAACAAATCCCAGACAACAAATGAATCATTAAAATAATGTAGGGTCACTCTCAAATAGCAAATTTGTGACTTCTTCAAATCAAAATCGGCGATTTTGCCGGAGGATAATTTAAATGCCATTCATTGACGGAGTTTGCAATATGGTAAGTTAATTCGCTTTTCGCCTATAGGCCATTCCGTCGATTACAGAAGGAAAAGGACAAGCAATCGGATCATAATTTTCTGGCCTCATGCGAGGACATCTAAATATTCATTTTCATACAACTTCTGCTTGACATTTTCCTATGTTTGTCATTGAAAAATTATTTACGGATCTTGTCATATTCCTTTGGAAGAGTTCGGACTACCATTGTCAAAATCTCCTTTTGAAAGATAAACTTCCAAATTTGGTCTATGAACTTACACGGTTTTACCAATCATTCTTGTCCAACTTGCAAAAAACGCCAATTCCTAACAATCACCGCTGATCTTCCATAGCTTCAACTGAATAAAATCATCCATCATTTCTCTGCAAAAATGCAGAAGATCTAAGAAAGTGAACTTTGACGAGAAAAATAGTTAGCATAACCAAATGGAAGTACTTAAAAGATTCATTGCGAGTCTTCGAAGAAGATGATCTAGGCATTTGCATCGAATTGGCACATCCTTCCTGAATTGCTCATGGATTGCAGTCATATGACTTTGAAACTTGGCTCCCATATTCTTCTGGGATTCCGCTTTTTGCTTTGGGGCATCAAGCTCCTCGCAAAGATGGCGCACTCCCACTTCTAGTGCTGCACTTTTTGCTGCAGCCTCACCCTCTTCATTGGTTGTTCTCCTAGGTCGTTCTACCCATGCCGAGACCACGAGTGTGGCCAGGTCTTGATCCAATACAATCGCGAATTTATGAGCTAATAGAACAAATGCATCCTCAGTCTCCTCCTTGTAAGCATCTGCGACAACAGTGAGTTTATTCTAGCATATCCAAAATCGTTCTGACGTATACATTCCCCAGTAATTTGATCCCTTTATCATTAATATCAAAATATACAGATCATTTGGAAGATATCAGCAACATCATTCATGTACACAAGTAAATTATCAAGGACATATGGAGCATGGACATATCAAACGAAAGCATTTCACCATGTCATAGGCAACATGAACTATGGATTTAGTACCTGTTGTGCTGCGGATCTCCTGCTTTGAATGGTTTTCTGCATTCTTTTCACTGAGAGCCTGTACTTATCAAACGAAAGCATTTCACCATGTCATAGGCAACATGAACTATGGATTTAGTACCTGTTGTGCTGCGGATCTCCTGCTTTGAATGGTTTTCTGCATTCTTTTCACTGAGAGCCTGTACTTATCAAGCATGATGGCAAAACTTAATTAGTAAGGACAAACATGTAATATATGCCCGGAGTTGTCTCAGATCACAATAAAATACACCAAGAAATATCATAGCAGATCTATTCTTACCTTCAACTCTACCATAGTCCATTTATTATCAATAAGTCATTGCCAATCATTCTCAGATATAGCAAATGGGAGACCCTTGTTACACTTGTGATGCACATGCAATTTGTGTTTATATTCCCTTACTGTCTTTGCATCTGTTTTAGCACGAACCCGCGATTTCTCTGATAGTCCACAGTGATTCCAGCAGCATCAGGAACAAAAAGAAAAATGCATACATCAGAAGAAAAACACCTCAATAAAAAAAATGCATCCAACCACTCAATACTTCTGTAAAAATCACAGTACATGTCTCAAGAATGACCAGTTGGATCCTGCAATATATAGAAGTGAGATTCTCACCTAATCTAGAAAGGAAAAGAGACGCTAAAAGGAAATTGTATAGCCTTATAATTTACTTCTCCTTCTATTTCAGTATCTTCGACCTCTTCTTCCATCTCATCAGCATCGTTGTCAATACACAATTCACTTCCTTCTAGATCAGGACAACTCAACTCGACAAAACTTTTAATGAAGGTGATCGGAGACCTAACCATGAGGACTTATCTTCACTACTCTTCATCGGAGGCGTCAATTGAGAGAAAACGATTGTTGTTCTTAGAAGGGCTAATGCACTTGTCTAGTGTGGATAAGTTGGAGAGGAGAGAAGACCAAATGCCTTTCTCAGATTGGAAAAAAAAAAATTAGGAGAGAGAAGTGGGAAAATATTAGAGGTAAAATGAAAAATGAAAGTGAGAAACTAGAGTAGAAATTTAATTTTGCTTTAACCCAATTAGTAAATCACATTCGCATTTCTTGATTAAATTAACATAAGGCCAATTTATAAGTCCTATGAATGTCAATTAAATTACAAGTCGATACATAGCCCTTAGGGATAATGACACAAACAGTTCCTAAATTTTGGTTCAATGTGCAATGTGGTCCCTGAACTTTTAATTTGTTCAATATAATCCATGAACTATTAATTTGTTCAATGTGGTCCCTGGACTTTTGGTATATATTCAATGTAGTCCCTGAACTTGAATTGATGGAAGGACTATATTGAACATTTTCATATAGTTCAGGAACTAAATTGAACGTGTACCAAAAGTTCAAGGACGATATTGAATCAATTAAGGATTAAGGAATCACATTGCACATTGAGTTAAAGTTCATGAAACACATTGAGCAAATTAAAAGTTCAAGGACTATATTGCACGTTGGACCAACATTCAGAAACTGTTTGTGTCATTTTTCCTGGACCTTAATTAATTTCCCCTCCTGTATTTTATGAAGACAAGAAATTTACACTTAATTTTTCTTTTGAAAGTGGATATATAGATTCCCGAGAAACTTGTAATAATTATAAGGGTCACGTTCT